ACACACACACACGCACACTCTCTCTCTCTCACACACACACTCTCTCACACACACACACACGCACACTCTCTCTCTCTCACACACACACTCTCTCACACACACACACACGCACACTCTCTCTCTCTCACACACACACACACACTCACTCACTCACACACAGAAAATAAAGGATTTAATAAAATTACAATTAATTTATATATGAAATGTATATGTAATTGCAATAAACATCTAAATATTATAGATAATTATAATATTTAAATATTACTTTAAATAAACCCTTACATGGGTTTCACACATTTACACCATGAAAATGTTCCAAAACCACATGTCACATGTGTTTCACATATTTCACGTGACATTAACAAGTGATTGCACCATAAAACCATAAATTAATAAATGTAAATGTGCACATGGCATATGAGCATTGCGTGCTATATTTCAGAGAAATGTCTATGTTATATAAGCAAATTTGTCAATCGTTCAGTATTCTCAATTGTGCTTGTTTCCATAGGATGTGGTTCGTTACATTTATAGTAATAGCCTCTCTCCTGAGCAGCCCCGCTCTGGCTGGAGTCAAAGACCTCAGTTCACACTTTGACGGAAATGAGAAGGAAAAGTCAGTGGATGCCCGTGGACTCTTTGCAATAAACATCTAAATATTATAGATAATTATAATATTTAAATATTACTTTAAATAAACCCTTACATGGGTTTCACACATTTACACCATGAAAATGTTCCAAAACCACATGTTTCATGTGTGTTTCACATATTTCACATGTGATTTTAACATGTGATTGCACATGTGGTTTTTCTGTAAGGGATAAAGTATTATATTACATGAATTACATACTTCAGAATGTTTTATTACATTAATATTTTGTCTATATACCGTATTACGCTATACATAAATATTGTTAAATATTGTGTGTGGTGTAATGTTATTGTATGTTAAATTTAATATATGTGTCCCTGCAGCACAAAAGCAGTCTTAAGTCGCTGGGGTATATTTGTAGCAATAGCCAACAATACATTGTATGGGTCAAAATTATAGATTTTTCTTTTATGCCAAAAATCATTAGGATATTAAGTAAAGATCATGTTCCATGAAGATATTTTGTAAATTTCCTACTGTAAATATATCAAAACTTAATTTTTGATTAGTAATATGCATTGCTAAGAACTTCATTTGGACAACTTTAAAGATGATTTTCTCAATATTTAGATTTTTTTGCACACTCAGATTCCAGATTTTCAAATAGTTGTATCTCGGCCAAATATTGTTCTATCCTAACAAACCATACATTAATGGAAAGCTTATTTATTCAGCTTTCAGATGATGCATTAATCTTATGACTGCCCTTATGACTGGTTTTGTGGTCCAAGGTCACATATTTAAAAGAAAAGGCAAGTTTCTTGTAAAATGTACTAAATAGCATTGGGCACTTTTGCTTTTCGGACTATAATGACGCCTTTTAATGGTCATTAGCAAGTTTTTATATTTTCAGCACACTTTTGATGGACAAAATAAATTTGATTTCACACAAAAATTTTAAAAATGCACAGAATAAGGATGTTTTTTAACAAGAATTACATCAAAAGCGAGCGCTCATTCAAAAGCGATTTCAGTCCGAGTCTCAGTAACCGAGTTGAATAAAACAGCAGCAGTGTGAGCGTTAATGATCAGCTCGTCTCGGGATCAATACTCACGGTATATTGATTTAGCGCTGGGTCTGGATAAACCCGACAGATCCGAAGACGCGTCATCCAGCGCCGTAACGCTGCGGGAAAACACACAGGTCAGACTGGCGTGAGAGATGTCGTGATACACAGGAATCAGAGGCGATCCTCACCTGGAGCGAAGCGATTCGGTGTAACCACTGGACCAGCCGAATGGACTCGAACCCCGCAGCATGACAACAGCACCTGAACACAACACTACAGCATCAACACACACTACCGCACAAACACATGCGCATATACGTGTGTGTGTGGATACATTCATATGGTTCAGTTATACATCATATCGAAATATATTTACTATATGAATTATATAGCAAACTAGTATCTTATACTAAATTAAATTACTTAGGTAAAACCTGTTTACTACAGATGAAAAGTAATATTTTGATATTTCATTAAATCAATATACAAATAAATGTATGTACTTGTATGTGTGTGTGTGTGCATACATATATACTTGTCTATTTATTATATATTAAACAAGAATCTAAATATTACATTAACTTAAAATACTATAGATGAAATGTAATATTTAAATATTACATATTAAATCAATTATACATAAATATTATAATTTAATATAAAACAGCTTAATGTGACATCTATGAGAAGTTATTAACATTAATCAGAATAGTTATAATTAAACTTAAACATTAAAGGCATTACAATTCTTAGATATAACTTGTGTAATATAGACAAAATGTAATATTTAGATATTACATACCAAATCAAATTATAATTTATTAACCAGGTTTAAATGTAACAATGTATATAGCTACATTTAAACATGGTTTATATATATATATATATATATATATATATATATATATATATA